AAATCACTCAAATAACGACGAAGCAGTCCCTGAAAACACAGAGAAAGCGACTAAATTTGGTTTGGCCGTGTTTAAAGGTAATGGTAACCGGGAGTTTATCGATAAAAACCAATGAAAAAGGTTTTGTTTACAAATGCAAATTAATCTTGCGTAACCTCACTTGTTCACTTGAAAATCAAAGTTGAATGGTATTTTTTACAGAATGGTTTCAAATACAGAAAGAGTTTGCAACACCATTTGAAGAAATTTCGCCACTAGAGCTAAACAAATGTCTTCAGAAATTTTATCTGTCAGCGAAAAAAACGAGACGGCAGTTTTTACAACAAAAAATCACTTACCGCGATGCGAGCCGCGTTGGATCGTTACGCGCGGGAAAATGTTGGATTCGTGGCTGGAATGTATGAATTAAAATCAATTTTTGGTGGTCTATATTATCTCACTGTTTTAGTATATACTAAAACAACTCTTCAACCCAGTGTCAGTGGTTAGCGGAGGATATTTACCGAGCCGCGAAGCGGCGAGGTAAATATCTACCACTAACAGTCTCCCCTCCGGTGAATAGTTGTTAATTATGATGTCCACAGCTTTTATCTCAGCTTTAATTTCAGTTTTAGAGGGAGTATGTAGCGCATTTTTGTGAGCGTCTACTGATGCATTTGTAGTAAATAAATGTGTTATGTTCACTGGATAATTTTCATTTTCTGGTATTGCATTCAAAAGTCTTTGTTTTAAAATGGCTATATTGTCTTCAGAGTGTTTTCCCTCCCTCAATCATTAAGGAGCTCTGCAAGTTGTCATCTTTCTGTCTTTTTATTTCTGTCAATTCGAAGAGGGTGAAATGTTCTCTCCAAATGTTAGTTGCTAAAGCATTATAGCCAGACTGACAATTTACAAAAAACCACTTATCAAAAACTGGTTTTTAGCTGGGAAGCATCTCCAACAGTTATCCACCAAATGACTGTTTGGTTCCTATTATTTGTTGTAATCATAAATTCGACAATATGAACATACCACTTTCAAACATAGTGGTGCATTTATTTTCAGACTATAAGTTCTGCAAATTTGTACAAAATGCATCAAAAGGAGGAAGGCTTACCTTTTCTCCCACATGGTAAAACGTTCATTCCGTGTACTGCATTCATCATGAGCGTGATCGATTCCTCGTCGTCAATGAACTGTTGTATCTGATCAAACAGCTATTTATAGTTGGGACTGTGTCATCGTCGCTTTTATGACTTTGAAGCCCTTTTCTTTCAACTTGAGCATTCTCTCCCACATTTCCTCTTCGTTTGTGAGGTCTACAAGGGTGTATTTTGATCAAGGATGGAGCGAAAGGAAGGAAAACCATTTCGATAAGTTTAGCGTCCGCACACTAACAGGCGTCATTTTGATAATTATGTTGACCTCTCCATGCACTAAGGCAAAGATTTCCACCTCTGTCTCACCCTCTAGATATATGAACACGTACAGAAGACAATGACACAAGCTGGGAGATAAAGTCAAACATTGTTGGGGAGAGGGGAAAACACGTTTAATATATAAATTAACTGTCTAACCGATTAGAATGGAGTGAGTTAGTGAGTGAGTGAGTGAATTTTACGTCTATACCTAAACCTCATCGTATGACTTAAGTCATAACCGATTAGAATGGAGTGAGTTAGCGAGTGAGTGAGTGAATTTTGCGTCTATACCTAAACCTCATCGTATGACGTAAGTTATACCATGAGGTAAAAACAACCAGTGACTTATAAGCTAGAATTTATTTGGCTCATCATATCAACTAGAAATGATTAATCTAAAAATGCTTTGGCAGTTTTGAGACTCAGAACTTTGCGACAATTTACAATTGGTCTTGAGCTTAAGGCACAATTAGTGAGAATCATGTGTTTAAGTGACCTTTCGTCTTTACTAGGTGGTGTGACAGGGGCAAACGTGACATTTGTGACCGCTGTTCACCAAGAGGAAATAGCGTGTTCGCCTATAATGGTATATACTTCCTTAATTTTCTGATTTTTTTTTTTACCACACTGCTGCTGTTTGATTGACTATAGATTTGACAATTGCGAATCAATATTTGGAAAATAGTCTTCTATTGTGTAGGATTTTCGAAGTTCTGCATCGTAAACCCTTGTAAACAACAGCCAGTTTTTTCAAAGGCTCCAAGAATGCATTCAAAATCAGTAGCTTAGTGTGGCTTAAACCCTTGAACTCTGTAATCAAAATTCAAATGTCTGAAGTGTCAATCAAAACCTTGAAGAACATTGTATCATCTCGTACGTAGGCGTGGTTGTTTAACTCCGATAGATGACAAAAGGTTGGACAGCCACTGGCGATGTTCATATCTCTCTTTGGTCGTTGAAAAGAATTGCTGTTCGGGTCAGGTCTGAAGGCGTCGATAACGTGTTCCACATGATCCTGATCCAACAGCATGAAGGTGACCTTCTGTCTAAAAGGCCAGCGGAGAAGTGCATCATACGGACCGCGCATAACCACAAAGAAAACTGAGATGTGCGTACCCTTGCCCATGCCATCTCCGTTCAAATATAGGCGTACACACATCTTGTATCCATCGTTACTGGAGTAAAATGGTGGACTGTAAAGAGACACTTGTCTGCCACTGAGGGCATCTTGCCTCTTTCGAGCAAAGTCGGAGATTTTCCATAGCAGGACGCCATTGTAATTCGAGATCTCTTTCTGTTTTACTTGTTCCTCTAAGTCAGCCAGAAGTATATTACGCAGGCCCAGCGTGTGCTCTAGGGACTCGAGACGTCGCTGGATTTTGGTAACTACTTCTTTGAATTTCTCTTGCTCTCTTTTCCACCTGTTAATTTGCTGCACAAGATCTGCATCACTTTTGTTTCCTTCAATCATAAAGACCTCCAGGTCAGCAAGTTTAGCTTCTTGATCGTTCACTTTTGTTGAAAGTTCGAGCAGCTTATCTTCATCGCTCGATTCACCAGACAGTCTGGCATGATCTACAGTGTTCTCCAGGTTCTTTATGCGAGATTCTAGTTGGTCTCCTCTGGATTTAAGTTCGTTAGTCTCCACTAATGCTGCACCTATCTGCTTGATCGAAAGCTCCAGTTGTTTTTCACTTGGAACAACTGAGGCATCGATCTTGCACGATGATGCAGATTTTAGAGTGCCGCTGACAAGCGATGACAATTCTGTAAATTGCTGTAGTAAATAAGTCATGTGTTGTGGTGTGTTCTCTTTAAGGTGATCCCGTCTTTCATTGAAACCCATGGGCTGAATTGAAAAAAAAGTAAAAGAACCATCAAAAAATGAATAAAAAAATGATGTAAGCAAAACCGAGTTCGTTGTGGCATGCTTTCCTTCCAAGATTTCAATAAATTGCAGTCAAAATTTTCTGTTATAGAAAGAGCGTCGTTCAGCATTTATTTAGAAGTTCTCATTCCCATTTATGGTCTCTTCCTCCAAGGTAAGATTACTACATAATTACCATGGAGTTCGAAGAAGCAATTGACATAGCATTTTCCTCTACAGAAGTCTCTAAGAGTCGTTTTCATTTAAGAATGACTACGGGAAGAAATTCAAGTTTTCTTAAAGGATTCCTTTGTAAGTCCGCTTGACCGCACATCTTTGCGTGGTTGTCTTTCTCAGCTATTGCTGTGCCCTCGTAAGTTTAAATGTCTAAATGTATTTTGTCAGGGAAATCTGAGTAGATGTTTGGGGAGGAAGGGGTTGGGATGTGATGCAATGTATACCCCTGCAACGAGAAAACTGAAAATGTACTCCTTGTCGCTTCATGTCACGGAAACCTGAACAACTACCTCGGACAGAATGAACCTTTTGCCTCGTTTGTGAGACTGCTGCTTCACCTTACATGCGCCATAATAATTCTGTCTGTTACCTTTGTTTCCTTGCATCCCATCGCTGCAAATGGACACACCGTTTTCAATTCTTGACAATCACCAGCTACTGGGTCCAGGTGGACAGAAACCTATAAAACATGCAAAGTGATGGCTAATTGAAACCACAAATACAGATCAAATCTTGTAAACCAGATCCGTTGTAATAGAAAACAAGAACAAAAATAATCGCGGGGGCTGATAATGACGAAGAAAATATAATGAGTCAATAAGAATTTTAAGAAAACGAGCAAACCGCTTAAAGCTTGAGTAAAGTCGGGTGGCCAAATCGTGATTGGTTAATAGGGGAGAGTTTCAAGTTCGAAGACTTAACACAAAGTGGAGCGAGGCAAAACTTTGCAATCCTGGAAATATTTTTTCGGCTAATGGGTTCAATAACGACAAGGGAGAGATGTAAAGAAAACTCCACAAAGGTAAATACCCTTTACCCGTCTGTACCTGACAGCGTGGAATACCTTGCTTTCCACATTCAGGGCAACACTGTGGATAACTTTTACAGTCGGTTTGATGATGCTCCTAGGAATAAAGATGAGAAAGTAGTAATAAGGTTTTATCGTTATTTCTTTAGATAAGCTCGGGACTGTGATCCTAGTAGTATCTCGCATTCGATTTTTTTTGGTAAAAGATTCAAATCCAGGGAAAACTGTAAGGGAGGCATGCTTCTACCAGCTAACGTAGTTTTCAGAAAGGAAAGCAGTGCAAAATTCCATGAATGTTAATGCAACCAGTATCGCTTGTTTATCCTCTATCATCTTTTTTCAATAACACCATTTTTTTCTGCTCAAATCACTATCCAACCTTCAAAATGCGACACTCATGGAATGACAAAATTTGCATGATATTTACCATCATGTCAACAACCACGATGCGTTTTCCACAATAGCTGCACAACTCCTTCCTGTAGCTGCAATCGTTTTCCAGATGACGAGCAAGGTCTGATCTTTGTACCATAGTTCCACATTTGGAATGTACACATGGAACTTCAAAAAACTCACAACTGCGATCATGATCCTGAGATGAACAAACGAAACAAGGCTATTAAGGTGAGAACTTTAATCGGCAATTGGGTATAAGAAAGAAAAAACAAACCAATTCTTGAAAAAGATTCTTGTATTGGTTTTTTTTTTTTTTTAAGTAAACAGCTGGTTATTGACCCTATATTTGATAACACGGTGATTTGTAGTTCACTGAAATCTCTTTGTCACTTAGTTTAAACATGTGATTTTACTATAAATCATTCATTTCAAGGACACAGAATCATACAAGCTGTTAATCTAAGTCCGTGTTCCTTTGCAGACACACTCGGCTGCGCCTCGTGAGCCCACAACATTTTGTAATTGACCACTGCGACTACGCTAAACCACTGTCGATTTGATGATTGTTCTTTTATCGCGTGTATCAGCTGGCTTTATTCTTTTGGCGAAAGTGTACAGAACGGAACCGCAAAAATTAAGAGGATATGTGGAATGAAGCAAAAATGTAAGTTAAATAATACCTGACGGTGCCTTAGCTGGCCGATCCACTGGCAACCTTTCTCGAATCGGGAGCAATGAAGCTCTAGCTCGAGGATTTCGCGCTCCACAAATTTATCACGGAAGACCTGTTTAACATTGACATACATAGATGAATGCAAAAGGATTTTAGAAACCTAGAAGCTTTTCAAAACAGCAAGTCTCCAGGAAATGACGGAATCCCAATTGAATTCTACAAAAACTGTTGGGATCTTATTTGTCAACCGTTCATCAATTGCGTTAATGATTTCTTCGTAACGGGAAGAATTGTCCAATTCCCAAAAGCAAGCTGTCATTACTCTAAGAGAAAAACAAGGGAAACATCGCATGCTAATAGAAAATTGGAGACCCATTTCTCTGGTTAATGTTGATGCTAAAATAATCTAGAAAGTAATTACTTCAAGAATTAAAAATGTTTTACCCCATATCATTCATAGCAATCAAACTGGTTACGTCAAAGATCGCTATATTGGTGAGACAGTAAGATCGATTCTTGACATTATGGATTTCATAGAGAAAGAAATATACCCGGTGTGATGATATTTATTGATTTTCGCATAGGGTTTGACACTTTAGAGTGGAACTTTTTGTTTAACTGACTAGACGCCTTTAATTTTGGCCATGAATTGATAAGTACTTTTTATAAAAATATTCAAAGTTGTGTGATAAATAATGGCATGTCTTCAGAACACTTTAACCTTACACCTGGAGTTAGGCAAGGCGACCCTTTATCTCCTTATCTCTTTCTTTTAGCTGTTGAGACCTTAACAATTGCCATCAGGGAAAACGAGGAAATAAAAGGAATTGTTATCGATAAATAAGAGACCAAATTATTACAATCTGCCGATGATACTACGGCGGTTCTCTCTGATTCAGAGTCGGCCTATAAACTTTTTCAACTGTTAGACAAATTTTAAAAAGTTTCAGGTTTAAAGGTAAATAGTTAAATGACAGAGGGAAACTGGACAGGATCTTTAAAAGGAAGTGAAATGAAACCACTTGGAATCAAATGGCCACGAGATCCCCTAAAAGCTCTGGGAATTTTCTCCTACAATAAAAAATTGCTCTATCTGAAGAACTTCACGGAAAAACTTGACAAGATAAAAAACTAATTAATATGATTAGTTTTTAATCTAGAGGATTATCCCTTTATGGAAAGGTGACTATAATTAAATCTTTCCTTCTACCGAAGGTTGTTTACGTGGCATTTTTCTTACCTACCCCTGAAAATATAATTAAACTATTTGATATATACAACTTTGTATGGAAAGGAAAAGACAGAGTAACTAGAAAATCTGCGATAAATGATTATGAAGGAGGAGGCATCAAAATGGTTGCTATTGAAAGTATGATTAAACCTCTCTGTCTCGCCTGGCTGAAAAAAATCTTTGGCGATAATTTTGGCGCATGGAAAAATTATTTGGAATATATTTTAAAAGAAACAGGTGGTCCGTTTCTTTTTAATTGTAACTATAACGTCAAAGACTTAACTATCAGTTCTCAATTCTACCTAGAGTTATTGAAATGGTGGTCTGAATTTCGGAAAGATAATGTGGTTGAAACTAATTGGTTCAGTTACCGAATTTGGAATAACCAGGAAATAAGAATAAACAACAAACCAGTCTTTTATAGAAGGTACTTTAACTATGGAATTCAGACAATGGGAGACCTGCGTTTCGATCTTAACAACATCGATTGTTATGAACTAACCGCAAAACACTTACAGAAGACGAATTTTCTAGAATGGACCTGTCTTCGCCACTCTGAACCGCTTGATCTAAGGAATGTTTATCCTAATCCAGATTATACAGTCCTAAATCAATCTTTCAAAATTGACTGCGGCCTTTTTCATGTAACTAAAAAGAAATCAAAAGACTATTACTATTT